ATGCCTCGTGGTGTGTCGATGCTCAAAACCAAAGAAAACAGAAGAAGCACCATGATCTTCCAGCATGCTTTCTTCATTATTTTCATTTGAGTTGAATTCTGAGGCCAGGATGGTTCTTAAATGACCTGGGGTGGCCAGGCCTGACCCCTTCCGTTAACGTAGATAATCAGAAGTGGCTTGTCGGCACCCTGCGTTGTCAACAAAGGTCTTGTTTTTAGTTTTTCCCATAATTGTACCGAGTTGTAATGGCCCCAGTTGGAGGACGAGGCATGAGTCACAACTGCCACGTTTACCAGTGCCCCCCCTTCCCGGGTGCCGCTCTCCCCTTCACTGGCCCCCGCAGTGACAGTGCCAAGAGTCCTCCAGAGAACACAGCTCCTTTCAAGGGCATTTTTCTCCTATTTTTTAGTGCATTTATGTGCCAAGGATTCATGCTCTGCCCCAAGGAAGGATAAGGTCCAGACACCTGCCTCAGGTGACGAGCCTTGAGAACGTGGCTCGAGAAAGGAGGCAGACGCCGTGGCCCCGAGGACGTTCATTCAGAGGGTGCAGGACAGGAAGTCCTCCGAGGCCGAGCACAGATGGGAGGCTGCCCGGGAGAGGGTCAGGGAGCCAGGGTTCGATGGGAGGGAGGCTCCCTTCTGGGCCGAGCAGAGGTGCCCGTGGCCCGGCATTGTGAACGTGCCTGGTGCCACTCTGCTTCTCACTTTAAAACTGTTTATTGTCCTGTTCACCTCACTTAAACCAGGGTGTGCGAGTGCGTGTGCGTGTGCATGCACGCACGCACACACACACACACACACACACACAATTGTACCTGGGTGTGACATTGTGGTACAACTTTATAAGATGCCACCACTGAGGGGAACTGGGTAGGGGGCAGGTGGGGGCTCTCTGCGTGTTTGTTCCAACGGCATGTGAATCTGTGACGACCTCAAATTAAGCTGATTTAGAGATTGTCATTGTAGAGAGGTTACAGAGACCCAGGTGAACTCGATTCAGTGAAGGCCACCAAGCACAGATTGTGAGAGGAGGTCGGCCGGGCCCGCCCATGGTGCGTCAGCATGCCGTGCCCCGGTACAGGGTGTGTGTGTGGGGGTGCACTCTTGCACCACAAGCTCATGTTTCAGCCTGTGATGAGCACACATGTGGCGCTGCTCCTGTGGGGTCGCAGGGACACAGGGGGTGCTGGTCCAGTAGGGTCACAATGGAGCCGAGGTGTTTTGGTGACGCTGGTGTCAGCAGATTGCTGTGCCACCTGCCATTTTCAGGCAGAGCCCAGGCAGGACGCTGGGCAGCGTGCGACTCTGGGGCCAGCTGTGTGGTGACGGCACAGCACCCAGCCATCTGTTGTCATGTTATTCACTTACTTATTCAGTGGTGCTGGGATGGCACCCAGGCCTTATGCAGCGAGACGGGTGCTCCACCGGGGCCACACCCACAGGGGTGCTGTTTTATAATGTGCTTTTACTTATAAAATCTAAGTTAACAGTAAAGCAGTTGTGTCAAGACGCCAGGTCGAGGGCTTGGTCCAGCCGCAACCGGTCCCGGGCTGTGTGGGGGTGAGGCCCCGTGACCTGCCACCGGAGGACGCACTGCTTACAGCACATCCACCACTAGCCCCCGTGACACGTGTGCGTGCACACACTGAGCACGTGCCTGCAACCTGTGTCTGCACAGTGTGGGGGGGTTCCCACCTGAGTTCTCGTCCCCTGGAACTGCAGGTGAGAGTGGCGGGTCTGTGTTTAGGTGAAGGACAGGTGCACCAGGTGTGGCAGGAGACCTGACAGACCACACCAGGCTCCAGAGGGGCTCCTGAGCCCTGGCAGGCCCTGGGGCGCATGGCTAAGAAGGGGTCTTTGGGCTAGGCGGCCTGGGTCTGAGTCCACTTGTTGGCTTGTGGCCTTGGCTGTAGGGTCCACCTCTGTGGCTCGTTGGTTCTATGTGTGCAGTGGAGACAGAGCCACCTACTGCAGCTCCACAGGTTACCTGAGGCTGGACCGTTGGCTGGGGGGTAGCCGAGTGACTCCCGGAGCACAGCCTGCACAGAGCCTGCGCCCGGGCACTGTGGGTCCCGCCTGGAGAGGCCGGGCTTCCGCAGGCTCTGCCTTGGCCACCCGCAGGCCCCTGCTTCCCGGGTGGGGGCGCGAGGTCCTAGACTGATGCTGGGATTTGGAGGCACATGAAAGGGCCTCATCAGGGGAGCCCAGGAAGATCCAGGCCACCACCGTGGATCCCCCGTTGGCAAGGCGGGCACCTGCAGGTGCGTGGCAGCAGGAGCTCCCTCTAACCACCAGGCCCACCTGGGCACAGCTGGCAAGGGTTGGAGCCAAAGCTCATCACGACTCTTCCCTTTGGCTCGGATGTGACAAGGATCCGAGCGGGGGCTCAGATGGGCAGAGCCGGGCAGGATCAGGGAGCCCGGGGCTGGCGAGCGGCGCCTGCTGGCGGGTTCTTTTGTCACTACGTGTCTGTGGGGAGTCAGATCTGAGGCTGCTTTGGAAACGGGAGATGCACATGAACTTGGGCCCTGCCACCGACTTGGACTGATGCACACCAGCAGGACAGAGTGGCAAGCTGAGGGGCATGCATCACGCCACAGCCGGGGCTGGGCTGTGCGTCCCCCCACCCCCAGGCGTCCCTTCCGTGTCCCCTCTGCCTGGTCTGGCGGAGCTCTCACTAGCTGTCCTATAGGAGCCCCACAGGGTGGTCTGGGGTCTGTTTTGCAGACAAAGCAGCTCAGGTCCTGCAGGGTCAGGAGGTTTGTCAAAGTCACGCAGAAGGAACCAGAGCCGGGTGCCTGTGACTCTGAGGCCTGCATCCGCCCTCTTGACTTTGCACCACTTCTGTGGGTGGCTTTGGAATGTCGCCCGTTCTGTAGAAGTGCCTGCTGGGAGCATCTGCAGCCTCCAGGGGCAGCAGGTCCAGTCCCAGGACACGTCAGAGGCAGGAGACCTCCGGAAAGGCAAATGAGGGGCTCCGAACGGCATACTCCGTCACACTGACCCTGGTCCCCAGACAAGAGGCAGCCCAGAGGTGGCTTTGGAAAACGGAAGCCCATTTCTCCATTGAGTCTCCTCTGCTCCACCCGCCCCACCCCAGGTTTCCTTTCTGTTTGTTTCCTAAAATAGTTTGGCCCCTGGGTTTTCATCACCAGCTTAGCCAGAGGCGCCCCTGGCTGCCCGTTGATGCCAGGCAGGTTCTGCGCCGGGCCGGCTGTGCGTTCGAATCCCAGCTCAGCGGCTCCCAGCCACACGGCCGTTGGCAAAGCCCCGCCGCCTTGCCTCGGCCTCCTGACCCAAAGAGTGGGAACTGCTGGTGCTTCTCCTGCAGGCCCAGGGGCTGTGAGTGTGGCACGCATCCCTCGGCTGGGCCTCTGAGAGCTCATGTAGCCAGCAATGTGGATGGTCCCGACTCATCAGTGGGGACGGCTGGACCAAGTGCCAAGCGCCAGGGACACCTGTGCTTCCAGCAGGCAAGCAGCTGTGAGGACGGACGTTGTGGGCGGGGTATTGTGTGCCTGGCCCTTTCCAGCACCGGTGGTTCCTCCCCTGTGCCCAGCCCCACCTCCTGGGAGATGGCCGCTGGTCTCACAGTGTTGACCATGTCCCCTTTCAGAGTTTGGAGTGTGGGTCATGCTGGGCGTTGCCTGTGACCTCTAGTCCTCCCAGCTCCTGGCAAGGTCAGCCCTCTGGGGCTGGGCGGGAGCAAGGTGTGGACGAGGCCTGCCGCTCTGACCGGGCAGGAGGGTGCTTTGGTTTGCGTCTGTGGGTCTGAGTCTGCACGACCCAGTGCCAGGTGTAGGTTGTCACCCTTCTGAGTCAGCCTACAAAACGGGCGCTGGCCAGAAAGCCACCCCTGGCTGTGAAGTGCTGGGTGCCGGTGCTCCCCTCTGCCACTGACTGGCTCTGGGGTCCTGCAGGGTCACGTGGCACGACTTGGTGCCATGCAGGGCTGGAGCCCGCCTCGGGAACTGGCCCCCAGAACTTCTCTTTGTGCGCTCTACTGGAAACCACAGGCCGCCCATCCAGAGCTCCGCCACGGGAGCAAGGTGGACCCAGGGCTACCGTCGCCCTTGGGGGCCCCACCATCTCCTGGGGGCCCCTCCACCTCCTGGGGGCCCCACCGCCTCCTGGGGGCCCCTCTACCCCTGGGGGGTCCACCACCTCCTGGGGGGTCCACCATCTCCTGGGGGCCCCACCACTGCCCCTGGCGGCCCCACCACCTCCTGGGGGCCCCATGGCCTCCTGGGGGGCCCACCGCCAGACAGACACAGCAGTCTCCTTGGCTGAGAGACATGACAGACATGAGACGTGCCACATAGGCAGTGGCCCCGCCCCGAGTCCAGGACAGGGCGCTGTGCCCACAGACACCTGCGGCCTGCAGAGGACCCTGGGTGGTGGCTGCTGGCGCAAGCACCTCTCTCCCTCCATCTCTCCTGTCCTCCTTTCCTCTCTCCATGTGCCTTTCTCTGCTCTTTTGTCCCTGCCTCTGTCTGTCCCTCTGTCTCTGTCTCCAGCTGGGGGCCCATCTTCTGGCAGAGCCTGGCAGTGAGGACCATCAGGCAGGCTCCTGCCACTCGGAGTCCACACCCAAGTGACCTCCTCTTGCCTTAGACTCTGGCAGACTTGCAGCGGGCAGGGGCCTGGGCAGGGGCAGGGGCAGGGGTGGGATGGCCCTGTCATCCCACCGAGAGGTTGGCTCTAGCTCCGACAGAGCACCACAAAGGGAAAGCAGAGTCTCTGTTACCTGAAGGGACCGCACAGCGCTCAGCACAGCAACCAGAGTGCACATGGGAACCCAGCTCAAAGCCCTCAGCCGCCCCCACGCCCGCCGTCCACAGAGCCGCCCCCACGCCGGCCGCCCCCACGCCTGCCGTCCACAGAGCCGCCCCCACGCCGGCCGCCCCCACGCCTGCCGTCCACAGAGCCGCCCCCACGCCGGCCGCCCCCACGCCTGCCGTCCACAGAGCCGCCCCCACGCCGGCCGCCCCCACGCCTGCCGTCCACAGAGCCGCCCGGTGAGGCCGGGAAGGGGAAAGGCCACTCGTGGGGACTTGAGTCCCTTCGGGATCTCCGGTTCCTGCAGGTCCTCCTGGGACGCGCCAAAGGGAAGACAGCAGGAGAGCAGAAGTCTCCACTGGCAGGACTTCCCTCAGGAGCCTTCGCTTCTGGGAGCGGTTCTGAGTTACAGAAAAGAGATCCCTCTGACTCCCAGCACGTCCCCTGCTGTGAACTCTCCTTTGCTGGCACATTTGCTACAAGTGACAGACCTCGACGGACACGTGGTTATTAGCTGGAGTCCGCAGTTTGTATCAGGTTCTCTTGGTTTGGACGGGACACTCTGGGGTTTCCGTCAACGCTCCCCTTGCGGAGCCACCTCCCAGCTCTGACTCCCCACCTAGCAATGCGACTTCAAGGCAAATTCAACAGGGCTCTCCCAATTTCCGGAGCCCCCAGATACCCTGGCAACTGGACAGTTGGTGAGTATGCCCTCAGGAAAGGACTTGTGTCCATGCAGGGTGAAGGCGGAAGTGTGGCCAAGTCAGAGACGCTGGACCAGAGGAGGAAGGTGGCCCAGGAAGGTGTTGGCCATCTCATCGGGTGCATGCAGCAAATCCGTGTGCACTGTCCTCTTAAGGAGGGAGTGGCCCGTGGTGGGGAGGGGGTCAGACTTCCTTCTGTGTCTGGGCTGGGGGCAGGGGCCACATCAGTGACGAGAGGCAGGCCAGCTCCGAGGCGGCCTGCACCCATGCAGAAGTCAGACAGACGCAGGGCAGCGCCCCCTGACGCAAGTTCTTTTCCCAGTGTCGGGCGTGACCCCCCCGCAGCGCCTTGGCCCCGGGGTGCGGAGATAATCCATGGCTCCCTCCATTTCTGGGGTTCAGAGGAAGCAAGCTGGTGGCCTGGCACGGCCCCCTGGGCACAGTGGGCTCTGGGGTCCTGTCTGCAGGGGCTGCGGTGTGCCCTGGCTGCTGAACGGAAACAGGTTTGGTTGCTCCCAAAGCTCAGGGTCTGCGGAGGCTCTGTGTATGAGAACAGCTCTGTGTTGGCTCTGGCCGGTTCTCTGCAGGCTGCTGGAGGCAGGGGCTCCTGAGACCCCGGCTGGGGGCGCTTTCCTTCTCCCTCCAGCTCAGGACAGGGCCGGCCCTTTCTCCTACTGCTCTGAAGGCCCCTCTGCTGCCTTCCCTTCCTGCAGTCCCCAGCTTTGGGGTTCGCATGGTGAAGGCCCCTGATCTGCAGCACCCAGGAATAGGACCTCCAGGACGGTCGGGTGCCGGTCCCTCACTGCCTGAGCCACTGCCGCTGCACACTGCTGGCCAGTCGGCTGGAGCTGGACGTCTGGACGCCCTGGGGTCTTGCTGGGACCTGCTCCGGCTGCTGATAGGGGTCTCAATAGTCTCAAAGAGGATTAACTCACCGTCCTCCCCTGCATGGATTCTCGCAGCTGAAATTTTCCTGACTTTTTTTTTTTCCCCCTTTCATTTTATTAGGTTAATAAAACTTGGGTTTCCAGCGTTTGGCTGCCCCAGGGGCACGATCAGCCCCATGTCCAATTCATCAAGCGCCTAATGAGAGGACCCGGAGGCCTCGGCCCGTCCCTTCCAGAAGCTCTCCGGGCCTTGTAAAGGGGAGGCCCACGGGCTGCAGTGTGTATATTGTCTCTTGGCTCCCCAAATTCTCCTGCGGGCCCCACGGTCACTTTTCAGAATTTATGTGAGGCTCCTGGCCCCACTGGGGGCCCCTTCGCCTGCTCGGCCCACACCCGCGCCCGGTGCCGGCGGCGAGCAAGGGCTGCGGAGGAACGCAGCGTGGATGCTGGGCTTCAGAACGTTCCGGCAAGAGGGTTGTGGGAAGTGCCTTTGTTTACAGTCAGAGGGAAGCTCTGGGGAGCAGGCGAGTCCGAGGAGCGGCCTTCCCCCAGAAGAAACAGGCTGGTGTCTAAAGTAAATAAATCTGAAATAGAACGTGTTTGGGTGTGCGCACCCCTGAGCGTGCGCCTCTGAATTCTTTTTGCACGTAGGCTTATGTCATCTCTGGTTTATTTTTTGATACTTCAAAGAAAGACCAGTGAAGGAGAAAAGTGGATGTCAGCTGCCTTCCGGCCCAGGGACAGGCCTGTGACTCCTTCCGCACAGATTTTCTTCTTGTCCCCTGCGGGTCCCCAGCCTCCCTGAGCTGTCAGGCCCCTGTTACTCCAGGCTTGGGGCCACGTCTGTCCCCAAATGGTTGAAAACCGGAACACAAGCAGCTAAGAGCCGGAGGGACGTTCGCTCTCAGTGCCAGGGAGACTGGAGAGGTGGCCGTGGGAGGTGGCAGGGGTGGGGGACTTGCTGGGTGCTGGGGTCCTCCTGCCGAAGCCTCCCGACTCTCCACACACCGGCCCAGCCCGGCCAGGTTTGTGATCAGCGTCCGATTCCTTCTCTCTGGCTTGAGGCTTCAGAAAGTGACTCACCTTTAGTTACTGCCCCGGCAGGGCTCCTGCCTCCGCTCATGAAGTACTCTGGCCTGGCCGCTGCTCGGGGAGCGTCCCCGTCTCTTCTCCCAGAGCTGCCTTGAGCATGGAGGCGTGTGTGCCCTGCACGCCCTGCACCCCTGCACGCAGGAGAGGAAAAGTGAGAGGGCGCTCCCATGGTTCTCTCGTGAAAGTTCCGGCCGTGTCCTCTGCATGTTGTGTTCACCTGTCCCCACGCCAGGTAGAAGGCCTGCCCTGGCAACTGGCTGGATGGGCTGGCTCCCAGGCTGTAGGGACGGCGGGAAGTGTCCTCTTCCACGTCTTTAGCACTTGTGTTAGGACCACGCTAGGCAGTTCTTTGAGGTTTGGGGGACTGCCCATGGCCTGGGTCAGCATTGCCCTCTCCTTTAAATGAGAAGGTCAGTTGGAGGTGGTGGTGGGCTCCCCGGTGCGGGGCTCTGAGGTTGGTCGTCAGACCCACTGGTCTGGCTGGCCAGTGTATCCACCCGGTAGCGGGACCCAGGTGGCATCTCCTCTCCTGCCCTGGGAGGACACACCACTATTGTTCTCAGTGCCCACCTGCCCCCAAATACACAGTCCAGCTTCAACATCCTCTATGTCCACGCTGGCACCAGGGGCTTGGAGTCCAGACCCCGGAGGCCGTGAGCTATTTGGATTGGGGCTTGGAGGGAACAGTGCCCTGGGGACCCAGAAGGCCCCCATCCCAGGCTGGCCCACGGTGGACTTCTGGGCGCTGCCTCTCCCACACTTGGCCTGCAGGAGAGCATCTTGTGAACGGTTTGTTTGGATTTGTTTTCTCTGTTTGACACTCTGGCAGAAAGCCGCCCATTTATCTTTGAGGCAGAAGGAGAATTTTCTCAGTTCAGCTGCGTGGCGCAGGCTCCGCGGTGGAGGTGTCTTAACTTTTCTTCACGGGTTTATTCCGGCCTTAGCCGCCCTCCCCGCACCTTTGTAGCTTTTCTCCCCTTTCTCTAAGGAATCCCCCACTGCCACCCCAGGGGTCCATCCCCAGCCACTCAGACTAAAAGAAGCCTTCACGCCTGGGCATCTGTTTGTTTAAACTCACCCTGGGTTACTGCACGTGAAATGCAACAGAAGGGAAAATGTAATTCTCTGCCGGCTTTTGATCAAAGAGAGGACTTAAAAAAATTCAGGATGGATTTCTGGAGAACAATGTTATACACACTCCACGTGTTTCTGAGCCTCAGTGTTTAGTTGATTTGGGGAGGAAAAAAACCTTTTTTTTTTTCTCTCCCCTTTTGATCCCAGGGAGAAAATACACACACGTCTCTGCGTCGCAGAGTCTGGAAGACGGGCACGGCCCTGAGCCGGCCAGCTGCAGAGCAGAGGGCACTGTCTTGTAACCTGTCGGCAGCGCAGGTCGGACGCGGCGTCACGGCAACGTGCACATTTGTGTTTTTCTTTTGCTTCTGTGAAAATTCAGAGCAAAGTGACTTTTGTTACCAGGGGTGACTTCGGGGCCCCGGAGGCCCGCCCTGTGTGCGGAAGCACCCTCACTCTCACTCCAACCGTCTTCCTTTCAGGGCCCATCACTGAATGCACATTTCTCCCCGACGACCTCGGTTTCAGAGCAAATGCAAATAAAAAGTGCTTAAAATGGTTAACATTTCCTGTCATTGAAGGCCCTCGTTGGGGGTGGGGGTCGCTGAGTTTTAAAGTGTATTTTTGTAGCAAAACTCATTTCAGATCGGCCGGGGGAACTCAGGCTGCTTCGCACAGTGAACTTCGGGGGTTGCAATCAAGCCTAAATCCGAGTGGTCAGCCGAATGATCCTTTCTATCATGTGGATATAGAGAGCAAACGTTCCAAATTCAAACTGAGATTAGCTTGGGGCCCAGCTCAGGTCACAGGAAAAAAATTAAAATATGTTCTCTTCCCTTCCCCACTCTTCACGGGCTTTCTTTTCCATGATGGAAAAAACCCGAATTTGTTTTTCTATTTTGTTGTGTTTCCACCATTGATTGTTTGGTTAGCGACTTTGCCAGCTTCCTGGATCTTTCTGGTTCTGCACAGAAGAGCCACATTTCCTCTTGGAATCAGGACGGAGACCAGCGGACTCGGAACCGTGAGTGCCTGGCCTCTCCCGGCTCCTGTGGCTGCCCGGGTCCTGCCGCCTCGCAGCCGGCCAGCCCGAGCGCGTGGACCCACTCCACAGCTCCCGGCACCGCCGCGCTTTTAGGAAAAGACTCTAGAATTTCTCTACAAACACGGGATAGGAAGGGGAGGGGGCGACTTCAATTTTCGTTTTAAGACTCGGAAAGAGGGAGAAAGTAAACAGAGCAGGCTGGTTTATTTCAGGGGCTAACAGTGAGTCCCTACTGAATTTACCTAATGAAATGAATTTTTAGAATTTTCGTTTTCTCATTTCATTCCAGCAGAAAATGAGTTTGCCTTTATAATGTCCAGATCTTTCAAACTCTATTGAGTAAGAAATTAAGTTACAAAAAATGTAAATACTTGGGTGCACACACGCACACTCCCCACGAAATGAAGCACTCGGTGGCTGTAGCACAATAGCAAGCCTGGCTTCAGGCTCCTGCGGCTCTGAAACTCTCTTTTACGGTGGGTAATAAAAGAGAAACAAGCTTCAGTTAAAAAAGTATTTTCTCTTTTGAAATAGGTGAGTTGTGATACTCAATAAATTTAATTGTGATTTTAATTTGTGATCTGAAGCTATTTTAAAGATCATCTGAACAGCTTGCCAAAATATCGTGAAGACTATGAAGAGAAGATCTGTGCTGTCCTAGGACACAGCTGAGTCCGTTCCGGTCCATGCAAATGATGCCAAATAGTGTGGGAAATGTAAAAAAAAAAAAAAAAAAAAAAAAAGATTCCATTTGTGGCAAGAATGTCCTGCCTTTAATTTTGAGAAGAAAGCGATGGATACTTGAATCTCAGACCAACTCAGTGATGTCGGAGGAGACAGGGAGGCAGGAAGGGCATTTATGTATGAAAAAAATCGACCTGGGGCGGGGATATAACTGGAATGTGCTTATATTTATAAAGAAAAGTTATATGAACATAAAAAATGAAAGTCATTTTGCTTAAGAATTTGGAATAATATTTGGGTTATCGCAGTTTTGCGCGCTGTTCTCAAACACTTGTCGGGTCCGGGAGGGAGCTCCCTGGCAGCCCACGCAGGGGTGGCGTGTGTGCCCCCTGCCCTGGGCCCACAGGTCTGTGGAGAAAAGGCGGGGACGTCACTAGGAGCTCACGGCAGATTAAAGACCCTTACAAACGGAGACTAGCAACTTTCTTTGCGGGGGTGGGGGTGGTTGCAGGGTGGGGCCACGGTTCTCCGGTTCTCCCAGTCGCTTTAGACCAGGGGTGTGGACGGCAGAGGGGTTCCCACCTCCCTGCATCTTGGATTGTCCTGTGTTCTTGTTCTTCTGTCCCGGGACTCAGCTCGCGCTGGAGGCCTTAAACAGAAAGCGTAGCCTTCTGCCTTGCAGGGCGGCCTGTGCCCAGTAGGTGGCGCTGCTACTTCTAGAGTCACTGGGGTGGGGGAGGGGAAGGCGGACACCCAGGATCTCTGCCATCCTGTCCCTTCTCCCAGGGTGCACACCGTGGCTCCCCCGTGGGAGGACACCACTGGAGGCCTGTGCAACAGGCTATGGCTCTCAAGGACTAAAGGGCACAGGCCAGACGTCGAGGACCTTGTGTCCCCAGGCAGCGGTCCGAGACTGCACCCAACTAGAGGTCAAGGAGATGCTTTGGAAATGTTTGGGATGGAAGCACAGACCTTTAGGAGCATTCCTGCACTTCAGGACTAGGCTGCTGGGTTCTAAGAGGTAAAAGACACCCTCGCTTTTCTCCTGGAAAGAACTTACGGTACCTGGAATTTCGTAAGCATGAAATGGACCCGTGAATCGAGGCAGACACAGGTGGAGGGGCCTGTCTCCCCTCTGCTGATGGGACGCTGCGCCTTTCCTGCAGCCCCGGCTTCCTTCCACAGGAAGGCTTCTGTGTTAGTTCAAAACCAGCATTTTCCTGCCCTCATGTCTTCCTAGAGAGAGCCCTGATCTTTCAAGGAGAACGACGATCGCCTTCAACAGGTTTAATCTTTAAATTAAAATGATTTAAAACCTTTTTGATAATTTCAGTGGGGCGACATGATCCCTCGATTTATTTTAGGTAATGATTTTTTATGTTGCTTTTTAATTTAAAAATAAGCCGTGTGCACGTTGACAAGTATTTTAAAACAAACTGGAATGTAGTGGCGGGAACACAGACTCATGTTTCTTCTCCTAAGAATGATGTTTTCATTTCTGCTGGGGGTGGAGGACAAGGAGGAGGGGTGTTTCATTCACTCCAAATTTGAAATGCTATTTAAAGACTTAGAAATATGTAAACGTAGCAGCTACAAAGACTTCGTCAAATCTGGTAGTCCTGAATCTGTGATATTTTTTAAAAATTTAATTGTTGGTTTTTATACCTGTATGTGTTTACAAATTCTGCGAGTTAGTTACCCCCATTCATAACTCTGTGTTTTAATAAAATGATTATGCTCCAACCCAGCTGTTTAAACAAATTCTGTTCTGCTTTAAAAATCTGCCCTTTGGGGAGAAAGTCACTTCTCTGACCAGCACAGCAACCAGCAAACAATAGTCACAATGTAAATCAGTCCCCGGAGCTGTTCTAATTTCCTTGGGTAAGATACTAGCCCGTAAAGCAGGGGCCTTGTCTATTAAACCACGCTCACGTCGGGTGCAGCTTGTAAAAAGATTGGAACTTCTGCGGCCCAAGTGCTCGGGTCTGACAGCAGAACAGAGGGAGCTGTTGAGACGTAGAAAGTGCAGAAAATAAAATTAGCAACTCTGGCAAGTGTTCAGCTGTGTGCAGACCCCAGAGGTGACGGTATTAGAAGGAACCCACAGAGAGCTGTCACTTGGCACCTCGGCTGAAGGGAGGGTCTGCTTGGGCCACCTCTGGGGCCGACTGGTTTCTGCGCATCTCATCTCCAGGATGCACACCCTTGTCGGCTCATCAGGCCACTACTCGGCAGCATGCGCTTACCCACTGATGTGAAAATAATCCATGTTTCAGAAACTGAGCAAGGCCAAAGAACGTTCATGCTCCATGGGTCTTGTCTGCTCGGCTGGATTGGGGAAAAAATTTAAAAAATGGCCCCAACCTGCCTGTTTGGCCAATTCCTGCCTGTTTGGATGTTTTGGTGCCATTGTGGCCCCTTCTGGGGTCTGGTCCTGGAGGGTGGGAGTGGATGAGGGCCGTCTCTGCACGTGGCTCACAGTGGGGCTGGGGAGGCCCGCGGGCCAGCACCCACTCCCGCTGAGAGGATGCGCCCTGGCTCACGTGCTGCGCCCTGTATCAGTCGACTTTCTGCCTTTCATGTTTTGAGGATCTCTGGGGAGGAAGGCGGGAGGCAACTTCTCCTCCCTCTTAACAGGGCGCCTCTTGCTGCAGTGTCTGTTGAAAGGGAAGAGGAGAGAGACATGCACTCCCCTCCCCAGCAAGCCAGGGCCTGTGGAGGAGCTGGCCGTCGACCCTGGCCTTGGGCCCCCCAGGCCAGCAGGGTACAGGGAGTTGTCCTTCTTCCCCGGACCCCACCTGCCCCTGAAACTCTCTGGAAAGGAGACAGAAAATCATGCGGGTTTCACTAAAGGGTCAGCTCAGGGGCTGGGGCTGCAGGGTGGCGGAGGGAGGTGGAGACACTCCGGCAGCAGTAGCATGGGGCAGATCCCCGCCGTCTCTCGGGGTCTCCCTGCACTTCTCCCGCGTGGTGGGCAGAGATGAGGGAATGAGAGGTGTCGCTAACATCCGTCTGAATTTGTTCCTGGGGATGGTACCGGGCCAGACTCTCTCTGGACTTTTCGAGGCTTGCCCTGCGAGGTTGGAGGACGTGCCCATCAGCGGGAGGACACCACAGAGGAAGCCTCTCACACCCACCCAGAAGTGAAATCTGCAACTCTGGAAGAGAGCAGTTCAGATCTGCACAGCTCCACACCGGACCCAGCCAGGTGGGTGTGCATGGCACCCCATGCTGCCCAGAGCTGGCCCTGGTCACTCATGCCTCTGGAGCACTTATCTTGGACCTGGAGTCATTGAACAAGTTGCTTGGCCTGGACTTGGGGCTGGAAGGCCACAGATAAGTGGGTAGAGGGCCGTCTAGCATCCACCCCTGCCATTGACTGGGCGCCTCTGGGTACATTTTCCGGACTTGCTGGGTCTTGATTTTTCTTCTGCAAAGTAGGGTTCACGTTAGTTCCTGCCTGAAAGACTTGCATGAGGAGGGAGAGCCAGGCCCATATAAACCCTGACCTCTCATCCACTCAGGTTGTGCCAGGAGGCATGTGCCAGATGCCCTCGGCTCCCAGGCCAGCGACTGCCAGCATGGCCAGCTCACTGGGGGTGGTCAGCAACACAGTCTCCGGCCCCACCCCAGATCCCAAACCAGACGCTGCGTTTTAGTGGATTTCAGGGACAGGAGACAGGCCACCGTGCACCTCCCACTCCAAGACAGTCCTGGAGGGGTTCCAAGAAGGCGGATACCGTGCTGCTGCTCTGCGAGTGGGGTCTGTCTGGGTCCCTTAGCTTCCCCTTCCCGCTCCTCTTGGCCCTGCCTGGGGCTCCGGGGGTGAGAGAG